CCTCAAAGCTTATGCTTTAAGTCTGTCTAAAAGAATTATAGCTATGGCCAAAAAAAAAAGAATTACAGTTATGAATAATACTAACAAGAACAAATATTCATGAAGTGTTCATTATATATCAGGCACTGTAATGAGTGTTTAAAATTCTTATTTGATCCTTACAAAAACTCTAAAATGGGTTATATTATTAGCCTATTTTATGCATGAGAAAACTAAAGCTCAGAAAGGTTAAGTAATCTGCCCACCATCACCCAAAACACTGTAACTCATGTTCATAAGACCAATATAAAACATTTAGAAAATGCATAACACAGCTTCAATTTCTTAATATTTATTAGTGTTTTGTTTGTCAAATCATTGAGTTACACATATATTTGTCAAAGAGGGAAGAAAGGAAAAAAGGGGCCTATTAAATCTCTCTTTTTTTTGCTGACAAACTAGATAATAGAAACTGTTGGGCCGGGGATATAGCTCAGCGGTACAAATGCCTGCCTGGCAAGCACAAGGGCCTGAGTTTGATTCCTGGTACCAAAAAAAAAAAAAAAAAAAAAAAAGACAGAAAATGTTTCATATAACCACAAGGATAATTTTAAATGCTTACATTGTATTTGTTTTTGATTTTTTTCATCTTTTTGAGACAGGGTCTAAATGCTTACATTGTAATTTTCAATTTAAATTGTGAAAAATATTTCAGAATGATTTATGACTTTAATTAAACTAAGTCATTTAATTTTAATTTGGTCCTAGAAAGCTAGGTACTACAGGGTGAACATTCACTGAACTATATGCCCAATAATTTCATGAATGTGTAAATTACAAGGAAATGACACTTAAAATGATTAATTGTATGAACATGTTTTACAAAGTTGCCTTTTTATTGTGACCTACATTATATGTATAAAAAGAAGGGATAAAATATGTATGGACTAAAGAATAATTCATTCAGCCAATCAACATGTATATATTAAAAGTTTATTACAGGGACTTCTAGATTCAGCCTTGAAAACTAAAGATCTCGGATATCATCAGCCCCAGCTTTGCAATGAGGAAAAACCTGCTCAAACTGAAAATCAATGACTCTTCTTGGACTGTCAGAGAAATCAGGTGAATGGCAGTCACCCTGAAGCCAGAGTAGAGGTGAATCTAGAAGAGCAGTGTCAACATATGTTTACTTAGGCTGGAAGTAGCTAGAGCCATAAACTTGTAAGAATACTTCAGTGATTATTTTGATGAGTTGCCAGAGGCTGAGAATGAACTCCCCGGAAGTTAGGAACTCCAGTCAAAGGCCTCTACACCTGTAGATTTCATCTACTAGAACCCTACTGTGTTACCACAAAGATCTCAGAAAGCTCCTACTGGGTCTGAATGAAAGAAAGGAGGAATTATAATTATGAAATACCGGTAGAATATTTCCTGTAATACGTGCCTATTACGGGTGAGTGTGGTGGCACACACCTGTGACCCCCGCTACTCAGAAGGCTGAGGCAGGAAGGTCACAACACTGAGGTGTCGTGGGTAACTTAGCAAGACTCTGTCTGAAAATAAAGAAAGAATGACCGGGATGTAGCTCAGAGCTCCCTGGTTTCAAACCTACTATTTCAAATAAAACAAAACCTATTCTCCAGGGAAAAATCCTTTGACAGAGCTTGATAAAAGCTGGGGAAAGAGCATTCCTCCCTCTCCAAAGCACTTTAGTTTTCTCTTCTTTCCTAAGGAGAAAAGGATTAAACAGGGTCGGTAAGAGTCCAGGTTTCAAGGAAATAAGATCCCGGCTGCTGCAGCTGAGAAGGGAGGCTGGGGCGGGGAGGTACATGGAGACAGCCCTGTGAAGGTCGCACCGGAGGATGCAGGCCCACTGAACAACGGAGATTTAATCAGGACACTGTTTATTTTGTGGCAAAAACAAACTAACAAATCAGGAATTCTAAACCCAGCAAGATTATTCTTCAGAAGTAAAAGAGAAATAAGACTTTCTCAAGCAAACACAATCTGCAGAAATTCAACCCCATGCAGTCCTGACTTGCAAGCAGCCTCAAACAAAACAAGTTCTTCGGACAGAAGGAAATTGACATTGATCAGAAACTTAGGTCTACATAAAGAAATGAACACCATCAGAGAGGCAAAAAATGAAGGTGATATATCTGTTTAGATGAAAATTGATCTAAAAGGATAACTTTCAAATAAATTAAAATGTATTGAGTGGTTGCAGCAGAATATGGTAAGTGACTTGCATGACAGCAGTGAATGTCATAGGGGCTGGAAGGGAAGAATTAGCCACCTGGTCCTAGGTACCTGCAATATAGGTGAAGCAGTACAATGCTATAAAGGTGGTCTCTGATTAATTTTAAAATGTATATCGTAAATCAAAGGAAACCACTGAAAACAATTTAAGGAAATTGATGTGTAAAGAGGAAATAATATAAAATGCTTGTTTAAAAGCAGAGAAAGCAGCTGGGAACAGTGGTGCACACCTGTAATCCCAGGTACTTTGAAACAAAAGAATTGGAAGTTGAAGGCCAGTCTAGGCAATCTACGAAGAACTTGTCTCAAATAAAATATAAAACAGTCCTAGGGGGATGGAGCTTAGCACTCCCTAGTTTCAATTCCTATTACTGGTAACAGACAGAAACAGAAACCAGGAAAAAAGTAGGTGAAATAAAGAACCATAAAGGCCATAAATAGGACACAATTGCAAAGATAGTAGCTATCAATCCATATATATCAGTAATCACTTTAAATGTAAGAGGTCTAAACACATGAACTAAAAAAAGATTCTTGTGGTGTATATAAAAGTAAATCCCAGCTACAGTTGCTCATAAGAAACCTATTTTGCATATAAAAACTCAGACAGGGTAAAAGATAATGATAAATTGAACTAACAAATTAGAAGAAAGCTCAAGAGGCTATATCAATTTCAGACAGAGGAGACTTCTGAGTCAGAAAAATTATCAAGGATAAAAAGAGGTATTAATGGGTTATGAAAGTGTATTCTTGAAGTAGACACAACAAAAATATTTTGTACTAAAAATGAAAATACAAGCTATCAAAATTTGTGGTAGGCTATACAGGTGGTCCTTGAGGGAAATTTATTACATTATATAATTTATTAGAGAAAACTTCAGAATTGGTAATTTAAGCTTCCACCTTAATTACAGAAAGAGCAATTAGAGCAACCAGAAGAGAAATCAGTGAAACTGAAAACATGAAAATAACACATAAAACAATTCAAACTAAAATTTGATTGTGGAGAAGACCAATATAACTGAGCCTCTAGCCAGGTTTACCAAGAAAGTAATATACAATTTACCATAGTTGGAAATTAAAACAGGGTGCTCACTACATGGACATTTGGGGGAAAAAAAGGAACACTACAAACAACCCTATGCCCCCAAATTTGACAACATAGATGAACGGAACAACCTTCAGAAGATGAACTTAACTGACAGGTGGAACTCAGAACCATGGCTTTATTATTAGTACAATAGTATCGTAATAGGGAGCAGGTAGTTAGGGAAACAAAGAGGAGGTATTTTCCTACCACATCTACTCCCTATGAAGAATCAAATATAAATTGCAATAGATAGTTTAACTAATAGTGGGGAGAAATGGAACTTGAAACAGGCAATCAATAAAAATATACTATCCATTTTGTTGGGAACTAATATAGCATGTAGGAACTAGGTGAAAGTAGAAATCTTGTTTCTAATCCCAGGTGAGCCCTTTGCTAGATGACCTTTAGCAATTCACTTGGTCTCTGTGTTTTCTGATAAAATGGAGATGGCAGTCCTAGTTCTACCACTTCTCAGGGTTGTCTGAGACTTCACTGTTCATTTCTTTCTACAAACATTTATTGAATACCTAACTATGTGCCAGGCATTGAGCTAACGCGCAAGTGAATAAAGCAAATTCCTGGACTTTGTGAAGCTTACATTTTAATAGGGGAAGTTGTATATGAAAAATAAAGGAGGAAAAGGTATGTGTGGAAGGAGTTGGAAAATAAGGTGATCAGAGAAGTCTCTCTGGCGACAGTTGCCGGAGCTTATCTGACAATATGCAAGCATGGGGCTTGACGTGGGAGGCACTTGGCATGTTTGAGGAACAGCACAGTGTGGCTGGAATGGCGTGACCTGGCGAAATGGCAGACGTCCAGAAGATGAGGCTGGGAATGTTCATAATGCATGGAAGGGGTTTGGCACGCATATGAAGGGAGATGAGCTGCTACTGGAGGGGTCTGAGCAGAATAGGGACAGAAACTTATTTATGTTTTAACAAGATAACTTGGGACTACTGTGTGGGGAAAATAGAGGGTAAGTGCAGAGAGCCGCTGCAGCTGGAAATTGATCACACATGGTGGGGCAAGGCAAGACCAGCCGCAGAACAAAGCACTCCAGAGGCACATCAACACACCGAGCCCCAAGACAATCCAATCAGTGGGTTGCTAGGCAAAGGGGGGTCTCGCTGGTTGAACAGTTCCTTTCCCTCCCATCTGGAGAGAGGGCTCCACCTGACCTCAGCTTTCCATATCGTCTTTATTTCTCCATCTTCTCACCCTGTCCTTCGCCTCACCCCCATCCCTGGGAACTTCAAGTGCAGCACAGGACACAGCATGCACGGGGTCAAAAGTGGTGGGAAGAAGACAAGTTCACTAGCTACTGCATTAAGGCAACAAGGCAGGCTAACTAAGAGGAGGGTGACAGTGTGCAGAGGCAGAGTGACAACAGTCTGGATATGTCTCGAAGGAGGAAGCAACAGGATTTTCTGATGGATTAGATGAGAAATGTGTAAAGACGGGAGTTGAGGACAGTAACATCTTAGGCCAGAACAAACAGAGTTAACTGACAGAAGAAGTGAGCTTGCTTTAGAATTTAAAAAAGCATGCTGTACAATAATATCAACTAGTTCATTTTCTGTCACAGGCCAGATAGTTAAGAGATTAAAACTTCCTTCATGAGGTCTTTCAAGATTTTCATCAAATTTTAATTCTGCAAACAACACTGGGATTTTTCAGTCAGAAAGATTTTATTGTAAGAAACAATGACATCAGGTAAAAATGCAAAAAATTGTGCAAGTATGGCAAAATGTTTAAAAATATCTACACATTTGCTCCCATAGGACTACAGTACTTACTACATACCTGAGCACTGAACATTGAATGCCATTTTAAACTGCTTTACAGAGACTCTGATTCCTTGCAGATTACATCCACTTTTTCTCATGCACCAAAGAAATCAGCTTAATGCTTAAGCATCAACTTTATAGGATAACAGGAAACAAAGATGGAAAATAAAGAATACGATTTCTACTTTCCTATAACACAGTTAAACCACGTCCAGTTTTCAATGTGTAAAAAATATATAGGAAAGTGCTACTTACATTCTTTAAATGCAAAAACATAGGTAAAGTGGGACGGGCATATGTTAGACCTTTTAATTCTATAGTAGCCATTGTGCCTTTTACTATACTCTCATCATCCTATGAAAATGTGCTTTAAAGATCTATACATAAACCCACACACGTCACTAATCTTAGCTTCCTAGGCCCTCTTTGAAACCCTTTTAGAAGTGGCAAAATATCCCAGCTATATATAATGTAAACAAATAGTTCCTCATAAAAAATTCAAGATATATTCTAATCCCATAGCAAATTCTAAGCCTTGGCTTTGACACACTGTGCATAGATCATACTCTCAATATAAGTCGTTCTTGCCAAAGGATCAACTGTTGTGCAGATCTACTGTAGAATTAATCAAACTGTTGTTCTACTGTGTATCACACGGCACCTATACCTTGCTAACTCAATGTTCTATGTCATGTTTTCAAGTAATACATTTTTCTAAATACAGAAGATTGTCAAAAAGTGGCAGGAGACTTTAGATATTCAACAAAGCTTTCAAACATAAATTACACAGACATCTCTTGCAAAAATTGGTTATTTTTTCCTTCCTCTCAGCAATATGAAACTGTAAAAAATTATTCAAAACAAGACTCACAGAAATAACCCAAACAGCATGAGGATAAGAACAGAAGACAAAGAAACACTGGGGAGGAAAAATATGGGCTGATGCAGTTTCAAAAGAGATTACAGACAGTAAGGCCAATTATAAAGCCAAAAAAATAAACCACACATCTAGCTTTCTAGGACTAGATTTTAAAGTGTTACTTCTATAAATGCCTTCCACTTCAACTTCCCCTTCAGAAAACTGTCCCTGCTTGTACAGGTCTTGGTAAAGCAGCCTGGAAAGTTTCTGAACGACGAGGTATGTGATGCAAAGAGGCAATGGTTTAAATTTGTTTCACAGTATCGCGTTATAATTTGTGCAAGACCTTTTTTAATACAAACCATGCTAGTTTGTTTTTCAGGAGAATCAAACTGTTCCAACTAAAGGCAGACTCTTAGCGATCCTTTATCAGTTATTCCAGGCATAGTGAAAAAAAAAGTTACTGATCTAGATATTTGCCTAAAGAAATACATGTAAGTTGGTTTAACCCTCATGTTAATATTCCTGTTAGAAATGTATGGATAATATATGAAAAATGACCTAGTACCTATAAAACTATGGTTTGTTCACTCACTCTTTTCCTTATCAATCCCCTTCAGCTAGAACAGTATTTCCATGTAAAAGTATTCATCACTGTGAAGTGCAAAAGAAAAACATGAGGTTGTCACCGTAATATGAAACTTCAAAAGCTATTAAATTATTAGACCACCGCAAAAATTTTATGTTTCTGGAAAACAGAATTTTAAAGGTAGGTATAAACTTCACATTATAAGTTAGTTCTCATTGTACCAACCAAACGACTGGACAGGTAGTAGATGGAAAAGGAGGTCAGGCACCAAACCAGCCCATGTTAGTGCAAATGTGGTACAACGGTCACGCTGCTCCGTGACTAGCTCCAGTTAGCCAGTATCTGGTCATATTCTATCACATAAGTACCAAGCCTTGTGACATCACAAGAGTTCACCAGGTAAAGAGCACTACCACAGCCATGAAACAAACACACTAATCTGAAAGACAAGCATAGGCTCAGACCACTTAAATCTACTTAGCTATCTACGTGAATTAGTTTATACTAGCACCAGCCACCTGCACGTTTGAGCCCTTTCCAGGATTTTAAAAAACTGAAACAGTGTTAGCACTTGAAGTTTTCGACAGAAAACTGCCACTTTAAACTTTAGCTTAACTTAAGGTAATATGGAAAATGTGAAACAATCAGACTAAAAGTTCTTGCTCAGACTGATTTTTCCTTCAGTCTTATAACAGAACACATTTACATCTCAGTACACTTGAAAACAGTACACAAAAATATATATGTAAATATATATAAATATTAAGAATGAGGATCTAAGTTAGTGCTTCTCTGTTAGAGAGGTCACAGCTAAATGAAGTCCTAGTGATATTGCCTCAGATTGTTACCCGTATTTAAAACAAAAAGTCATGTCAAGCTAGTTTGGATGTGTCTACCCAATAATACCCTAACTGCTCTTAAAAGAGTGCATAGTTGTCTTGATTCATTGGGTATCTCAGTGACTATTTAGCACAGTTCTCGAATGATACAATTAGTTGTATGCCAGGAAAAAAAATGCTGATAATTGCACTTTGTTACTTTTTCCTTACTGAAATGAAAACTTCACAAAAGTGAAAGCAAATCCTTCCCTACGCTGTAATCTTTAAAAGCACCCATGTCTGTGTACAAACTCTCTCGGCTCTCTTAAATATTGACATCACTCCTTCAGACAGACAAGCTTTCAGTATGAGATTCCAGTAAGGCACGACGGCCTGCTACACGTTAGAGAACTTTCTGAAGACACTGAGGGTAGAGTTTAGCCACAGCGCATTCAAAATGCCGGCCCAGGTCCCACAGCCGATCCGGGGTCTCATACACTTTCAGCCACTGGTCAGCGATGTCATCATACTGGTAAAGGGACTTTTTTTCCTGCTAGTTCTGAAGACATGTTCTTCCACAGTCACTTGAGTAGCTCGAACAAATAAATGAAGTTTATTCTGGAAGAGGACCAGCTTAAGGTATGGATTTATAGACTGATCACATGGAAAGTCCTTCTTACGAGTCCATTTATTGAGCTCAATATCATAGGCTTCTACAGTAAACATACGTTGGTGATTTCCACAGGTTCCAGCGATGTAGTAGATAGAATCCTTGTATACAGCTGCTAAGCCCTGGATTCTAGGCACAGTCATGGGGGTTAGAAAACCCCAGTAGTCTTTTTGAGGCTCATAGAAGAGGAAAAATTCTCCTAAGAAAAGAAAACAAGGTACATTTTCATTTTTGATTTTGGTTTGGGTCATATATTGTAATTCCAAGCTCTGAAGACTAAACAGCATCCAGTACTTTTCAAATAATTCTTTCTAAAATATATAACAGATAATATTACAGTTAACCTGGATTGCAATGTTCATACAGGAGAGGTGGAAGGAGTCGTTTCAGCTTAATAGCAGAATAAAAAAGACTTGTTTCCATTTGTTCTAGCCAATTGTGTGCACAGAAAATTATCTGAAGCCAGCTCTAAGGAAGCATTACCATTAGTGGTCAGCCAGCAAGGCCAAAATGTATATATACAGTTTCATCATAAATAAGACACTACACATTTGTGTGTTCATTATTTCGTAAGAAGACATTACATAGCATTGTTCAGATTTGTGTTTATGGTCACTGATATGTTTACTTAAGTGTGGCGAGAACGTAAAGATAAACTTCCACAGGAAAAAACTTGGCTAAGACAGAAAAGACAGGAACCTACACATTGTTTATGGAATTGACTTTGAGTCAGTTTCTATTCTAATTTGACAATAAAGGATATGGTAAATCAGACTGCCAATATGAAAGTGTAAGAATTAAAGTGATAAAGATTTATAAGAGTTTTGATAATGACAAAATGTGTATAAGTGCTGTAATAAAACTCTGAATTCTTTATGAATAGATTATAGTTCAAGAGTCACGGGGCAGTTTGAGTATGCCTTATCTAAAATAATTTTAGAATAACTTTGGATATTTGCACATACATGAAACAGCTGGGGGATGAAACCCAAGCTTAAACATGGAATTCATTTATGCTTCACATGCAGCTTATACACAGCCTAAAAATAATTTTATATAATATTTTTTAGTGTGCCTACTTTCAGAATGTGATGAGTCACAATCGCCATTCAAAAAGTTTCAGATCTTGGATTTTTGAGTTTTGCACTGGGGATGCTCAATGTGTACAACATAATCTTCCAATAATTCATGTCAGGTTTATTTATGTAATGAGGCTTCAGTTCAGATTAGAAATACCGGATTCTAAATTAAGCTTCCCTTTGAAAACTATTCTCACCTAAGGTTACTCATCTAGAAATTTAGCTGCCTCTTTTTTCCTTTTTTTTGGCACTGGGAATCGAACTCAGGACCTTACACTTGCCAGGCAGGCACTTGTGCCACTGAGCTATATCCCTGGCCCCTTAGTAACCCCTTAAGAGACTATTCAACGTCAATTTTACTGGAGCCCCAGCTATTGTTTGTACATTTCCTGGCTTACTGAATAACTTTATTACTGGACTCTTGAGAAAGAAGATAAGAATTAAAATTTTTAATTCTCCACATATTATAGGAAGGAAAGATGACACAGAAAAAAGTTGATTTTTAAAATCTAACATCCTCTTTAATAACGTAAAATCAATAACCAATTAAAGAAAACCTTCAGAACCTCATATTTCTCTTATATAAAATATATAAATTTTGTAAATGTATAAACAAGTAAATGATGTTTATTCTGGTCCTAAAATTTTATTAATCCACCACTACTTTGCAACAGTATTAGCATTAATATATAACTTTTACACTCCAGTTGGGAGTATAATAATGAATTCTACCTATATCAGCTAACTAGTTAGCCACTAAGACACACACACACACACACACACACTCACACACACACACACACAGTTTCACAATGGATCATAAAACCTATCCAACCATACTGGACAGCACATATGTGCATTCTTCTGCATGTGCTTTTATGTAACTCAAACAAGGCACCTGAGAGTACTCCTCCTCCTAGATAATTAACCTGATACTGAAAACAAAAGGGCTGAGGAATTTCTAGCAAATTTTAACCCAAACGACTAGAGTAAAAAATATATTTGTTTTAAAAAATGGAATAAGAACTTAAAAAAATTATGTGTATCTTCATGAAAACTGCCGCTTCCTCCTATTTTACTAAAGTAGAAGTACAAGGAAAACATTTACATATAGCCCATTAAGAAACAGAAGAGCTGGGTATGGTGGCGCAGGCCCATAATCCCAGCACCTTGAGAGGTGGAGGTAGGAGGATCACCAAGAGTACCGTGCCACCAGGAGCTACAACAGTAAGTTCAATGCCAGCCTGGACTACATAGCAATTTCGCACCTCAAAAAAAAAAAAAAGGATTTTGGTATTATCTACATTGCATTCAACATCCAAGCAACTAAAACATAGAAGAAAAACTATAAGGAAATTATTATTCTCACAAATCAAAATCTTCTTTACTCTTACCCGTCACTCCTACTGTATCTTTGTGATCTACTGGCCTGTAATAGTTTTTCTTTTTTAAGATAAATATGTTAGCTAGTCACTCTTACAATAAAAGGGAGTGGTGACCTCTCAGTTTCTTAGTGCAGAAAAAGAAAACAACCCATTATAAAAGCCAACATAAACTTCATGAAATTAAAAATCGAAGGACTATAATTTCTACCTCTTTGTTATCAATTTTCATAACTTTTTTCAATTACAGGCTTATACAAAAATCTTTTGTAAGTGAATAGTATAACTCTAGTCGATATTTCATTCTTTTCTTCACTTTTAAACTAATCCTGTATACCCCATTTAAAAAAAAAAATTTGATACATCTGATTATATTATATATATATGCATATATGAACAGCAAAATTAACCATGTATTAACCTCATTGTATTGTTTAAAGTCTGTAAAACTGCTCTGAAATAGCTCTCCCAAAATGCTGAACTATTATTAAAGAATGTTTTCAAAAATACCCCATGTTATCAAAACACAACAAAGTACACAATCATTTTAGTACCTTAAAAATACTTTTGAATATTAGTGATTCAAAAGTTTCTTCTTTTTGTGTGTGTGGGGAGGCGGGCCTTGAGGCAGGGTCTTGCCGTGTAGCCCAGGATGCCTTCTCACAATCCTCCTGCCTCAGCCTCCTGAGTGCTGGGATTACAGGCATGTGCCACCGCACCCATTTATATAGAACAGTATTCTAACAAATAGTTCCTGATACAGAAGCCAGAGGTGTTTTTCAACTAACAAGAACTGTTACATGTTTCGGTATAATTAGGTAAAACACACTTAATGTATTATCCATCCACAGAGAACTCAGTCACTCTGGCACCTACCCTGTAACACATAGATCTTCTCTTTGTACTCCACAGCATTATGAAATTCCATGGCAACTGGCATTGCGCAAACAGCCGTCCAGCAGTTCTCTCTGCTGTCATAGCACTCCACGGATTTCAGTGAGTTCCTCCCGTCACCCTCATACACACGACCTCCAATTGCGTACATTTTACCACAGCAGTATACAAGTCTGCACCCTATCCTGGCCCGAAGCAAGGATGGTTTGGACAGCCATCTATTGGTGGAATGGTCATACATCCAGAAATCATTTTCAGCCTTATGGTCGATGGAGACCTCACTGCTGCTCGGCCGGTAACCCCCTGCAATGTAGATGTCGTTATCTGGTGATACAAGAATCCCGACCTCCCTCAGGTCGTTTGGTGGTTTGCATAGTTTAAACACCCTTCCTGTGACTATATCTAGGCAAGGCACTGTTTGCTTCTTTCCTGAGTGTTTGTGGGCCGCGTCAAAACATATGATCATCTCAGAAGCAGTCATTCCAAGCCTCTGTGTACAGCCATTGGTGCTAGACGGTCCCTTTTCTACACAGCTTTTGGCGATAGCCTGTGCAAACTGAGCTGGAATTTTCTCTATAAAAGTATCTTCCATCAGAGGAAAACGGATGCATTTGGCAAAAATTTCTGGAAGGTGCACTTCTCTCTCATTCTGTTCATGCTCAAACCACCTTACAATGCTCTCATAAACGTGCTCTTCTCGGTCAACATTTAAATCATCACTGTCTAGTATGCTTATCAGTTGGTCTTTTGTCAGCTGCAGAAACTCCTGCTCTTCGGTGACACACAGAAACTTTTTACGAATGTATTCTTTCGAGCGATCTCTAAGTTCCTGATGACCATAATGATCGGCAAAGATAAAGACCCCAATAGAATTCTGTGGGTCCAAATGGCTGATCATGTACTTAGCACACTGATCTTGGATGGAAGGGATCTGGAAGATGCTAGCTGCGGTGAACAAAGCTTGAACATTGGCCTCTGTCAGAAGAACTCGAGAGGTGTAGGCGTAATTCAACACCAAATCCATCGACTCAGCTTCAACACCAACTATTCGAACTTCTTTTTGAGTACTTTCTGTAAGGCCACTAGTGAACATGGATCTAAGAAAGAAACACTGTTAATATTTTATGTGTGCTGCAAATAAAAATTACTGTAACAATTTTTAGAAGTATAAAGTTATCATAAAGCTAACCTTCTCAGACTAAAGCAATATATCCCCTGAGATTCTGGACAAGGAGAAAAACTGTTCATCTAATGCACAAGGATCTAGTCTGGCTATTCCCTAAATCCCTATTCTCAACGCTAGTCCAGTTTATGCTGAAGGAATTACAGATGAGCCATCCCCAAACATGCCACAGTAGCAGATAATTTCAAGCTGAAATCACTTGAGGAACTGTAAATGTCTTTCCCTACACAGCAAGCCACGCAGTCTTTTGGGAAGGATGTTCTTCCTACCAAGGCTAGGAAACAGCCCTGATCACCTGCACAATTGGATAACTGTGGCTGTAGTGAGCCTGAATAGACAAACTCTTCAAGTAACCTTTATCTTCCATGAGCTTTCACCCTCCCCCACACCGAGGTATCTCTCGGTAACATCCCTAGAACGTACTGCCCTAGCCCAGGTACCTATCTGCTCTGTCATTCCTTCACAGATTTAATGCTCTTTGTCTAAAGGGTCCAAGAGCATCATGCTTTTGTTATTTCTTTAGACGTGCTCTGTTGGGACCCTAATGCTTTTCACTTACGCATCAGCTCTTATATTAATTGGGTTCTTAGGTCCAGCTACAGAGCCCACATAAGAACCAAGGGGATTAGAGGAGATGCGTCTCTTTCTCACAGTGCCAACTATGACAAAAGAATATGCCCAAGTAAAGCAAACCAGGGAATCACATGGCGTATTTCTGGTCACCTGATTTTCCTTGGAGTCCCTACCCTGGCTTCTAGCCAAGTTGCCTTAGGGATGTGAGATCTTAAATGGACATGCCCCAGAAAGTTTAAGGGTACCTGTGATACATCAACGACACACACACAGGCTAATAAAACTTTAGGTCCCAGTGGAAATTACAAGGCAACTTGTGCCCAAAATATATCTTTAAAAATTTCACCTTAGAAAAAGCAAGATGTTCTTCAAAAATACATACTCTCTACTTCCTCCTTTAAAATCTAGTATTTTTTAATGTTCCTTTAACCAAATCACTTACCCTTGGACATTTTGAAAACTTTTCCTTAAATAATATACTTTATCTTTTCAGTTAAAGTTACCATATTTTACCTATTTATAGCTATACAGAAATAAATACTATCATAGTGTTAATATAATGCCTTCTAAATAGAGTTTAACATTTAATGCACCACTGATTCTTTAGACATAATGATTTTTTAAGTCCCAAACTTTTATCTTTAAGAGCAACCTTTTTTAGGAAATTAAAATATTGGTGCATTTATGGTATTTTCTTGACCAAAGCATTATGTAGCTTTAAAAAAAAAGGCTCTTAAAGTATTAGAAATTTACAAATATCATTTACCTTTATTTTCCTGCCTTTAAGCTTTCATTCTAGGCTGTTTACAGAATATAAAAATCAAATAAAAATTTGTCTTATAAGTCATTTGAAGAAAGATCTCCATTGTATTTGTCTTTGTTTTTAAGGTCTAGCACGCTTCACAAACAACTGCTGAAGAAATTGATATAACATTGGTGATAAAATTAATACTGAGATCCAGGCCCCTCCCTTTTAAGTGTTTTGAGAAATATCCTTAACAATGAGAGTATTTCCAGTTGCCTTTGAAATCTCTAACACATGGAATTAATCTAAAATGTAATATGAGAAACATTAAGGGTATAAACCTTTGCTGTGTAGGGAAGTCAACCTTGAGTTCTGTTTTTACTTCTACAATGTAATACAATGTAACAGTTTAACAGGCTTTTTTTTAATGACTAATGTTCTATGAGCTGGTTTTCAACTCATGGGCTGAAAAACTCACCTATGCAGCTACCAATTAGAAGGAAAAATAAAGCCCTTCATTAGACGGAGATGAACTCCCACAGGAGCACATTGCCACACATCCCTTTGTCATGGGAACCACTCCTGACTTGAACAGGCTGGTCTGGAGCGGCTGATACTGATGAACCTTCTGTTTTATGAGCTTCTTCAAGTAAACTCTACATAAAATTTACCTGCAAAATTCTGAGTGACAAAAGTTTTCTAGTAATCATGCCAATTTTAGTTCTGACAAGTCCCTGCAATGCCAGCTTTCCAGCCCTGGTTCCTCTGCCTATGATGCAAGACTTAGAAATCATGAAGTATGACTTTCTCCATCCCATATCAGGAGTAGCACTGCTGCCAAGAAACTTCTGCACCAAAATCCTAGCGAGAGAAATTCATCTAATCCTTCAGTTCTCCAGTCACACATCTTTATCTTATGCTCAGAAAGTTTTCCAAGCGTTTTTTTAATTTCTCGGAAATTAAGAACATGCTTTTTTTGTTGTTGCTATTTTGTTTTTGTTTTTTGAGACACTATGTAGTTCATGTTGCACTTGAAATCATTATGTAGCCTAAACTGGCCTCAGATTTGCAGCAATCCCTCCGCCTCAGCCTCCAGAGTGCTGGGATTACAGGCAGGTGCCACCATGCCTGATGTAAACCTTCAATACTAATTTAAAGCATAAAATTTCAGTTAGATATAGTTATTTTTATTGTGAAATTTCAATCCATTTTTTCTTTTACCATTCAAATCTAATATACAATAAAAAATTTGGAAAGGGTACTTTAAAGAGGATCTAATTTACCGACTCTTGTCCCTTAATCAAACAGTGACTAAGAAGGCTGTCTCTGGAATCAAATCTAGTCTTCCATTTACTAACCAGGTAGATGATTTAAGCATTATTCAATGAACCTCAGTTTTGTCACATGTAAAATGGGAATAACAACTGTGCAGAGATAGGTTTATACAGATTACATAAACCGATACATAGAAATTAAGTGTAGCCAGAACTTGATAAGAGTAACCATGCTATATATTTAAACACATAAATGACATGATCATATCTAATTAATAGCCTGGGTAAATACTTTTCTTTTTTTTTTTTTTCTGTTTTTGGGGGGGCAGGTACCAGGAATCAAACTTGGGACCTTGCACTTGCCAGGCAGGCACTGTGCTGTTGAGCTAGAGCCTAGCTTGGATAAACAAATCTTATCAGTAGTTTGCATTGCCAAGCCAGTCTTTATATCTTCTGCATATGTGAGTTTCATCTTTTCTTCTTTCCAGCCCACTGTCCTGTGATAATTAACACTCAGTATTCTAGTGACTTACCCAGGCAAGTCTAAATGGTTACATCACAAGCATGGAACTATATTTAACCCAGCGCTCTGAAAAAGGGGAACCAGAGACTACTGCCTAGAACATTACACTGCCACGTACCTAAAACTAAACATCTTCAAAACGAAAAAGTACTTTCAGTGCATGGTTGAGGTGATTTTACTGCCACTCATGCACCACTTTTGAATACCGAAAGCCTTAAAAAAGTGAGCACTTACAAAAAGTTATGCTGAGGCAGGAAACTGCCTTTTCCACTCAACTTTTCTGAAAGTAGGAAGTTATTTTTTAGCTCCAAGTTGTATAACCTTACTTTTCAACAGTTCATGATAAACAAAACTAACGCAAATGAAAACAGCATAAAAATACTTCTGGAAATCTTGGAAATAATCACTAGCATGCGGCCTAAGCCACATAGCAACCAAACTTTCATCCATTTTTATTCCACTGCCTTTCTTGCTATCATACCAAAACAATCTAGTGTATGGTAATTTATACAGAAATTGGCTTCTATATTTTAAACTCTAAAAGTTATACACACTAAAGAAACATACCTTGAGTAAGTTTTTGGAACAACTTCTAGATCAGCACTGTCCATAAAACTTTCAGGGATGACATGTCTCCTATCTGTGCTGTCCAAGATGGCAGCCACTAGCCACATGTGGCTGAGCCCTTAAACTGTGTTTAGTGTAGGGAGGAACCGAATTTTTAATTTTGTTTCATTTTCAATAATTTAAATAGCCGTATATGGCTAGAGGCTGCCCTACTGGATAGCACATGTCTAAGTCTTCAGGTTACTGACTTTAAACAAACACAAGTCCATTCACGTAAAAGACCCACCTCCTGAATTATAAAGACTCTTTCGGGTCAAAAACAAGGGCTTATTAAGACAAGGCAGGTCACCTACGTTCAAAAACTAAAACTCACAGGTTTCATGTTATCGTCGCATCTTCGAATAATAATGAAATGGACAGCACTGGGGGGACGGGGAGCTGGGTGTGGTCACGGTCATTCGTTTCCACCCCCGTCCTACCTGAAGTAAGGGCTGATGGCAGCAAGAACGTTCCTATGACAGGAAAAGGTTTTCCCGTGATCCACTTCCACTACAATGTCTGTCAGCTGTCCTTCATCATACATTGTTTTGAGCTGCTTAAGAATACTGCACGCATGGAAGGGGTCCATGGCATCGTTGGCTGTGTCTGAAGATGGAATCCCATTCAGTGTTGGGGAAGACTTATTTAAATCTAGGAGAGAAATCGTACAACCACAAGAAGTTCGAGCCGGAGACAGCGTGGAGGAACTGTGTGTGTGTGTGCGTGTGTGTGTGTGCGCGCGTGTGTGTACTTGATTGACGCGCCCTCCCGCCCCCTACACAAACACGTATTTGTCTACACACGGGACAGAGAATCCGGACGGCAAAGAGCAGACAGCGGGCTGCCGAGCAAGTTCCCACGCCAGCCTGCTCCTCCGGGAGCCCGGCGAGCCCGCCGCCCCGCGCTCGCAGCAGGCAGCGGCGGGCAGGCAGCCGCGTGTGTGCGGGGACTCAGGAGCGGGCTGGGCGGAGGGCGGCCCACGCGGCCCCTCAACCGCCTCCGGAACGCGTCGCGGCGGCGGCGGGTACCAGCCTCCGCATCCGCGCGTCGCGCCGCCACCTCCCTCCGAGCCATTCATCCTCCCTCTTCGGCTCCTCTCCGGCTCTCCATCCTCCTCTCGGTCCCTCGGAGCTGCCTCTCAGCCCGCAGCTAGCGCCGGGCTCCGACGCCCCTGCCCGCTCCCGCTCACCTCCTTCCAACACCACCCGCCACCACGCGACCCACCTGCAGACGCGGCCATTTCTGGACGGGGCCCCGACTCCGGCTATTTAAAGAGGAAATGTCATTTCGCTGCTTCAGCTCCCGGGTTCCGGCTCTACTAAGCTTCTGCTGGCCAATGAGGTAGCTTATGCATCGGGCTCCGCCCCCACCTTCCAAATTCCTAGCTCTAATTGGCCACCTGGAGAGCACAGGCTCGTCGGGACATGTAGTTTGATTGACCACGCGTCCTCGTGGTTCTGGTCTGGCGGAGGATGGAGCTGGCGATTCCTATTGGCTGGTTAGCACGGAGGTGGAGCCCAGGAAACCTGCCAGCCTGTGCCTGCGGGGCGCGCAATGCTTGCCGGGAGTCGTAGTCTTCTGCGCGAGGAGAGCTGTCATTCTCGGGGCTGGGGTAAACGAAGCTCTCCAAGTGAGAATCTTCCCATTTTAGGCCTCTCTCCTGGCCCCCGGCTCATTTTTTCCCTACTCTTTGCTTCATTTCCTAAACTTCGTGCCAGTGACTGTTTCCGGTATGAAAACAGAATCACCGTGTTGGCTATGAAACCAGAAAAATTTGGAAACGGACAGCGGGACTGCTGTCCAAAAATGCAAAAAAAAATCTGACATCCCACCCTGAAGAAAAATATCGGAAGGCCCAAAAGCAGCCCGTTTATGATGAGTCACCTGTGACATCCCAATGAAATGCCATCGCCTTGGCAGCGTGCTCCAGTTTCCACAGATTATCATGGTCGGGTTACAAGGCTACTAAGGACCTTTAATCCACTTGTGTCTAGGTTCCTAACACACCCAGGGAGCACCTGTCCCACTTTCTCGAGCATGTGGATACTACAGAGAGATTCAGTGTGACTTCTCTCTTGCTTCTTAGACATGGAGAGGTTACGGAGGCTGGAATTTCCTTTGAAGAAATATTTCAAAGTGTCTTGAGCCTGGAAACGGAGATTCTGACCTCCTGGCTCTTACCCTATGTGAGACTTTAGATAAGACTTTTCAACTCTTTCTACCTTAATGTGGAAGTAATAATCCATATTTTTTCTACTTCATAGGCTGCAACACTTTTGAAAGAAAGTAGAAATTTTATTGTTAACATGTTTTGATTTGCTCCTGTGTTTCTGACATGTAACAGGATGCCTGGCATGTAACATTATAGGTACTTAATATTGTTTAAGTAAAAGTAAAGCACAAGAAGGGGACATTGGAAATGCTAGACCTTTGAATGTAAGGATCAGTGAGTGCTAAGGAATTTTTAATGGGCACATAGGTAGCCCGTATGCATAACTTTCCTAACACTGAAAAGATAAAAACTCTCTTTCTCCTTGTTTTTTTTTTTTTTTTGTTTGCTTGTTTGTTTGTTTTTCTCTCCTTGGTTTTTGATGTCGTGCAAACACTAAGCACATCCTCTATCCTCAACTGATCTTCTAAATAAAGGATCTTGGAATTTAAATTATGTTTGAGAAAGAGAAAGAATGAAAAATACTTGATTCCCTAGGTATGCTGAGAAATGAAAGTACAAATTACTATTTTTGAGTAATGGTTAACTAGATATGATAATCCCAGCATGCTGGGTGACTGAGGCAGGAGGATCACACGTTTAAGCCCAATCTGGACAATTTAGTGGCTTAATAAGACCCTGTCTCGAAATAAAAATAAAAATAAAAGGCTGGGGATGTATCTCAGTATGGAAGCCCTACAGATACAATCCCCAGTACTAAAAAATATGTTGTGATTTCTTGGAAATGGGGTTTACAAATATCCACATGTATTTATAATTCCTTTTAATGCAAACTTTCTGTACCGTCTGTGTGGATACAGTTTATTTAACTTTTATTACTCATAACTTTAAATTCCAATTTTCATGACCTCATTTTATTTAAAAAGTAAAGATTTTGTTCACAATATTGGTGCTAACAATGACATCAATCCTCAGGGTTGTCAGATTTAACAAAAATACAGGATTATATGCATTATTTAGAAGTACTTAAATATCATGTATTGTTTATGTGAAATTCGAATTTAATTGACAACATTTCAACCCTTTTAAAATAGCGGAATTTCAACTTAGTCCTTGGGAAATTTGCCCAATTTTTAAATTTCATTTAATTCTCGACTGTTGACCTACAATCTTGGCAATATTGTTAAATTAATCAAAGTAGAATTTTCTGATTCTTTGACTCGCAAAGATTTCTAAATTTGGTTAAAACATAATATGAAGAACAAAAGCCAATATAAATATAAAAAAGCTATAGCCAATATAAATATAAAAAATAAAAATTTATAATTCCAACTTTACCATTTATATAACACATATAGACCCCATTCTGCTGGGCAGATGGCATTGCATAGTAAAGATTTCATTATCATTAGTATGCATTTGAAAGAAGAGAATAAATAGGAGGATCTCAAAATTGAAGCAATGTTCCTATTCATTCTCAATGATCTTTAAGAATACAAAGGAGATTCTGTCTCAGGCTTGGTGCTAAATAGCCATCAGTTACAACTTTGTTTTCATAGAAGTAGCTTTTATTTCAAATTTAATAAGGATAGGTTAAATGTACTGCCGATCTGGAACAGCAGCAAAAGTAATCCAGTCTTTGTCGTAATGTAATAAGTACTATATTGTCCTGTGAGGCAGTTTTCTCATACATTTACAGTTAAGTAAAATCTGTACTAAGAATGAAAGTTATAAAAGCAAACTAGAATATTTGAAGGACCAACATTTGGTTCAAGTAGAGCTTTACTATTGTAATATTTATTGCCTAGGTATCAAAAGCAAAGAGGATTGCTGTAATCATAGTTGCTTGAGAGAAGATAATTCTTTGCAATTAATATATAGCAAAGACTAAAGGTTATGAAAAGAGCAGATTTGAAAGAATGAGAAAACGGCACAGTCACCTTGTTTCTTTCGATTTCCACTTGAAGAGAATGACATTTAGCAATTTTCAGCTGTGCCTGGGCTACTGTCAGTAATAATACTGCACAACGCAAGAATGATAGCAGCTCTGATGAAGAAGGGGTAAAAGAAAATAGAACTTCACTTCTGCAAATCGATTCTGCAGTTTTCCAATTTCCCTGTCCAGTACTGGTTGAGGCTATGAAATTGACCAGAGCCATATAAAATGAAAGTAAAGAGAGAATACTTGAAGCTCTTACCTTTCAGCAAATGACATCCTTATATGTTTATTCTCCCTGGCCTTCCGCTACAACCTCCTTGATATGTTCAATGTGATTTTCTTTTTTCTTACAAAAGACTTTTGTGTTGGCTGGTTTAATTTTTGGGACAAAGCAAAAAAGGAGGGGCTAATTATTTCAATATAAATTAATAAAATAGCAGGTACTAAAACTGGTGTATAAAATTTTTCTAGAAACTTCTGCATTTATATGATTTAGTTTCTTTTAAATATTGTTATAGTTTAGAATGAGAATGTGCCCCAAAGGTTTCATTTGTTCCTAGGCAGGATTTTGGGAAGGTGACTGAATTATTTAGACAAGAGAGCTGTGTTATGGTTGATACATTGTGTCAACTTGAGGAATCTACAGACTTGACTAAGTGACTCAGCAGTTCTACATCCTGGGGTGAAAAGGACACGCACTTCCTGCTCTAGGATGTTTTTGGTATTCAAACTGAGCCTCTGCAAGAGGAGGGCACTGAGACAGTGTGGGTGTGGGCAGACAGCCAGCATACAATGTAAGGGAGAAAAAGAGATTTACTGCCCCCCACCCCTTTTAATCTTGCTGCTTTTGCTGTTTTGAGCTGCCATGAGCAGTTGCCCTCTGCCATGTACCACTCTGCCTTGGAGCCAGCCGAGTATGGACTGAAACCTCCACAAACTGTGAACTGAATAAACCTTTCCTTCCTTAATTTTGAGCATTGAGTATTTTGACTCAGCAACAAGAGAAAAGTAACCAAGACAAGCTGAACTGCTGTTCAAGGTAGGGCCTGGATGGAAGAGACAGGTCCCTGGGTGCAGGACCTGGAAGGGTGTGTCTCTCTCCCAGGCTCTCCCTGCCCCTTTTTTTTGGTCTTTTTGAGACAGGATCTCCTATGCAGTTCAGGCTGGCCTTGAGCTCACTTTGTAGCCCAGGCTGGCCTCAACTGGCAATGATCCTCCCGCCTCAGCCTCCCGTGTGCTGGAATCACAGGCGTGTGCCACCTCGCCCCTCTCAGGCTCCTTCCTTTGCTCTCTTCTTCCTTGATGTGAGCGTTTTCCTCCACCCAGGCCTTTCCACTGTGCCATTTTATCCTGGAACCTGGTGACTGGCGGCTGTCACCGTGAGCCAAAATAAACCTCTCCACCTTTACATTGTGAGCGCCAGTGACAAGCAGGTGACTACGGCAAATACAGAACTCAGAGAGCTGTTGACACTGAGCTTACTGCCTGGGCACTTGTGAACTTTGTTGTATTTTTTATGTCCTTGGAGGTAATGTAAATACTCAACATGGTAAAAACCAGAAGATGGCATTTCGAGAACCAGGGAACTTAATCATGTAAGGGGACATTAAATTGCATGAATTTGTCTTTTAAATTTTTTAAATTTAGAGTATTTATAAAAAACATTATGAAACCCATGGCATGAATCTTCAATTCCTCAAAAGTATCTTTTGCTCCCCACCACCACCTGCCTTCTGCACAGGTACGGTATGAAATGAGACTCGTAAAGAGTAAATGAAAAAAAAGGAAGAGCAGGAAGAGAGGGAGGGATACAAGATTTCTAACTTCAAGAAGCTTATATTCTGTCTTTGGCTATTAAACATACTCAAATGCAAAATCAACTAAATAATGAGAGCTAAAGGCAGCCCCTCATTAGAATAAGATTAATATTTGAGACAGTTAGTGTTAAGAATTTCTGAAAAGGAAAATTCTGTTCATTGATTCTGAAAGATAGTTTTGCAGGGTACATCAATCTGAGTTGAAGGTTGTTTTCTCTCAGAACTTGAAATGCTTCACCCCAAGCTCCCCTTCAGGGTTTGTGTTCAGAAGTCCACCGTCATTCTGA